GAGAGAGAGAGAGAGAGAGAGAGAGATTAGTAGTATGGCACATAACCATAAAAAGAGAAGCACAGCTACATTTGAAAAGTATTATCTGGAATAAAAACAAAAAGCTGAATCATAGCTTCAGTGAGAACAAAATTTGGCCACAACCATTTTCAGATAAAGTTTTAAACTCAGATGTAGAAGAACTGTGTTTTAAATCAGCAAGGATGTTGGGTCCTGTCATTATTTGCCGAAGTTGAAAAATGAAAGACTATGGTCTCAGAGTAGCGCAGGAGGAGGACAGAATGAAATTATATTTATTTGTCATTGTGGTTCCAACAAAGGGGCAGAAACACAACAATGATGCCCTAGCAACCCAAGACAGCCCTTTTCCTAATGGCAATTTTTGACGAGTATTACGATATGCCCCAAATACCATTCTCAGTACCTAGTAAGGATGAAAGTTGCCCAGCTGGGTTTTTTCTGGATGTGGGAGGGAGCGGTTTCAGTATTTGGTATTTCACTGGGTCTCACTCCTGCTCCCCAATCTGCAAAGAATTGACACAAGTCCAGGCTGGGCAAACAAAACGAACAAAGATATAGAAATAATCTCCTTCAAATCTAGCCTGACTGATAGTGTCTTCATGAACATATCTGTGTAATTTCCTGAGCAACAGGGAAAAACCAATTTACTTTGGCCACATTCTGGGATTTTTTTCCACATCCTGGGATTTCTTGGTAAACTCTCGCTTTAATTTTTCATCCTTTGCTTTGGGTGAGTAATACACACGGTTCCCCCCTTCCTTGCCCCTTGCTTCGTTTTCTCCAGTCCTGGCCAAAGAGCTTTCAACCCATCTCTGCCCTTCTGATGCATCACTACAGGCTTCTGGTACGTTCCCTTGATCCATCAGACGGTCTGACCGATCCTTCCTAACACCAAAGGTCAACATTCTTTTTTCTTCATTTCTTAAAAAGGCACATCGCTTTGTATCCATTAATGCCATCTAGAAGAAACAGACTGCTTCCTCTCAGGATGCAGGATTTCAAGGAGATGAAAGGATCAGACCCAAACACCTCTTGCTGTTGCTTTGCTGTGTGCAAAATCCCGCCTTGATGCAAGTCTGACTCCAGCATCCAACATGGCTGGGATCCCCTGCTGGAATCTCTTCAAGTATGGAAAGTATCATCCCAGAGAGATGTTTGATTGGAGAACATTACTGCAGTGACAGCGTAACACTGATCTGTCAGACATCAGAATTTCACATTCAAGGAAATACCCAAAATGACATTTCATATGCTTGCTCAGTACGATTCCAATGAGTTTTTTTCTAATCTGTTCAATCGTGTCTGATTCTTGGAGGCTGCCTGGACAAGTCCCTGCAGTTTTCTTGGCAAGGTTTTTCAGAAGGCGCTTGCCATTGCCTCCTTCCTTCCCAGGGCTGAGAGAAAGTGACTGGCCCAAGGTCACCCAACTGGCTTTGTGCCTAAGGTGGGACTAGAACTCAGGGTCTCCCGGTTTCTAGCCTGGTGCCTTAACCTCTACAACAGTGTTTCTCATCTTGGTAACTTGAAGATGTGTGGACTTCAATTCCCAGAATTCCCTGGCTGGGGAATTCTGGGAATTA